CTCTCTCTCTCTCTCTCTCTCTCTCTCTCTCTCTCTCTCTCTCTCTCTCTCTCTCTCTCTCTCTCTCTCTCTCTCTCCCCCCCCCTCCCTCCCTCCCTCCCTCCCTCCCTCCCTTCCTTCCGCGTGACTTCGTTTTTTACCTTTCGTTTTCGTTGTTTTTTAATTTTTCTGTATTTGATTTTTTTTTTCTTTCTTTGTTGTTTTGTTTTGTGGTGTCGTACCAGAAAAAACGGGGCCCGGCCTTCAAGCAGCGATCGGACCTTCCCTTTGCCGACCCCCGAAGCTGTAGGCGCGTTAACGAGGAAGGCCCGCGGCCGATAGCTGGGCCAAGTATTGGTGGCTTAAACTCGTCCTCGCCATGTGTCCAATAGTGGATTTTTTTTTTCCCCATAACCCTCTATGAGGTGGCAATCGCTGCAAAGAGTGTTAGCCAATGGGGTGCCACAAACAATCAACTCGTTGAAGGGTAATAACAGGGAATAAGGCGGAAAATAAGTACCGATAATCAGAAATCCAGCACCCTCGAACCCGGAACACCTCGTTTCCAAAGAGAAGTAATAACGTCCTCCGATCTTTGCGATGGCTTCTCGTACATCCCACTCGCATACACGTGGTATTTCATCGTTTCATGGAAGCGGGCGTTGTGGGGGTACAAGAGGTCAGCGCCCAGTCGTATTGGTGTGGTTAGTCGATATGGTATAAGCTTGTTACTTTTCGATTGTCTACTCAATCCATTATTCTTTCAGCCTTCGCTCGAAGGAAGAAAGGAGTTATGGACAAAGCCGAGTTAATCGTACCTAAAAAGAAACAATAAAACCGGAATGATATTTCATTCAAGACATCAAAACAACATATCAATCATACAAAAAAGTGTTTATTCTTCAACCCTATGGCACTCGACTTAGTTGGCCTCGCGAAACTTTGACCATCATAAAGGAAAGGGGTAAGCACAGGAGATCATCGGCATATCAATCATTACCATAAGCTCACACCATGCATCATACCAAAAAGGGTCAGGGAGAGAAAAGCAAGGTTACATGTCCTCGTTAGCCTCTTAAGTTCGATGATGCTCGTCCCTGCGAGATCAAATCAAACGAAGGAGATAAGCGGGGTGGTAACTCAAATATAGATAGAGACAAGGAAGTTGTTACATCATCCAACCATTCTGAGTCATAGAGAGAGACAAAGTTGACAAAGTTGTGACTTGGCCGAAAAGGACAACTTTCATACCAAATATACAAGAAGATCTGAAGGAGATCAGCGTCTTGTCATGAACTTCTAGTTAGCTTCCAAGATAAAATGAAATAGAATAAGGAATCAAGACGTGCAAACCTTCTTCTCTCATGCCATGGCTGTAGGTCATGCAACCACTCGTCAACACACACAACTTCCTTACTCCGAGTTAGTCACAGGCGATCCCCGCCACCATGTGGCAACCTTTGTTCCACAGTGATCGTTACCCCGCTAAATTAGTCCTTATGCGAACTCGCACAAATCCCGCAGTTCGTCTGCACCATCCAACGTGCAACCTCGCAAGACTATAGTCGGCTCGTATGGACTTTCTGGCTCGTTGATCATCACTTTATCTAGCCACTACTTCCCTGCAATCGGCAGATGGGTTAAGATAGACTTTTTCGGATGCGCTTGAGGATTTTATAATAATTATTGCGGAGAATTTTTCGGATGCGCTTGCGGATTTTATAATAATTATTGTGGAGCGGGAAGTAAAAGACAAGAGAGAGAGAAGGAGCAAGGCTCGAAGAGAGGGGTAGGGGAAGAGGGATTAGTCGCCTTGAGAAAACCATATTGATCTGTATGAGTTACTTCGTAGCCAATCAAATCGCAGTGTGAGGGGATTAGTGCCTCCTTACACTAACACACTATTGTCTGATGTCTCGAAGGATGGGATCAGTAGGGTCTTTCCGTACGAGGATAAAGGTGGGAAAGGAGAGGGGGCGAAGAGTCGTGCGGAGCAGGATCAAGATCCATATGGAGAGAGGGAGATAGGAGCACGAGGAAAAGGGGATGGAAACGGTAACGAGTTAGATGGAGAAGGCGTGAAAAAGAAAGGTTGAAGATGGTTTTCCAGTGGGATACAGTTGGAGGCGGGGGAAGCTTGCATGCATGGCACCGATGCGTAAATAATAAGGCACCCAAACAATAACGCTGTGTCCAAAAATCCTGCTCCGAAACTAGTTCAAGATTTGAAAAATCCAAAAGCAATATTTACGTGCAGAATTCAAGTTAGCATGAAGTCCTATTCAGATTCTTTCAAAAAATTCACCTAGCTTTCCAAGGCGGATCTGAGGACACTCATGTGCAAGAAATGACACGTCAGCGAAAAGTGCTCCCGCAAATTTCGGAGTTCCCAACTGCTGAA